GCATAGCCCTCCATGCCATCACCTCACTGTCCTGCCCCCACATCACCTCCTGCCTGCATAGCCCCCCATGCCCACCACTGCCCCACCCCCCACGTCACCCCCACCCCTGTATAGCTCCGTTATGCCCACATCACCCCACTGCCCTGCCCCCCCACATCACTCCCACCCCCGCATAGGCCCCTGTGACTTTATTGACATAAACTGTAACTGTTTAGATCATTGTTGCAACCACTGTTATATATTTGCAGCAAATATTGTACAAAGGTTGTTGTGTAAGGTGTCTATGGAAAGATTATGATTTGCTGATTGTGATTATCCTATCTGTATGGGTGTATCATTTTTGTAGTTGACATTATGAATATTGGCTATGTACTTGTATCTCAATGTGTTTTGATTCTAAGTAGCCTCAGTGAGGCATTTGGTCAGCTTCTTGAGAAAGGACTATTCTCAGGGCTAGTCTACACTACCCACCCGGATCGGCGGCTAGAAATCGATCTCTCGGGGATCGATTTATCGCGTCTCATCTAGATGGATAAATCAATCCCCAAATCGACGTGCGTACTCCCACCTCGTCAGGAGGAGTAAGCGCCGTCGACGGGGAGCCGCGCGGTCGATTTGCTGCCGTCTTCACGGCAAGTCGAACAGGATATGTCGGTATCTTAAATCGATCCCTCCCCCTAGTGTAGACCTAGCCTCAGTAAGTGCCCAGTCAAGAAACACTTAACTGATAATGGACTTTGGGAGACGCCAATCCACATCTGAGCTTTCCTGGGAACGTTCAAACTAACATGTAAACAAAGGCGTCAGCCTGTAAAGAACTGAGTCATGCATAAACATGTGACTTGCCCATGTGACTCCAAACTCCATCTTGCTGCTGTAATTGCCACAGTAAGAATAAAGGGGTGTCCTTCCACATTTCAGAGGATATAAAAGGCCTTGGAAACCCCTCCATCGTCTTCAATCCTGCTTCTTGCCTCTGGAGGAACCTTGCTACAAACGGAAGCTCTGAACAAAGGACTGAATGACCCATCCCAGCTGGGGATGTATTCCAGAGACTTGATTTGAACCTGCAGTTTATTCTATCACTGCTACAAGCCTGAACCAAGACTTTGCCATTACTGTATGAAATTGATTCCATGTAACCAATTCTAGCTCTCATCTGTATTTCTTTCTGTTATGAATAAACCTTTAGATTTTAGATTCTAAGGATTGGCAACAGCATGATTTGTGGGTAAGATCTGACTTGTATATTGGCCTGGGTCTGGAGCTTGGTCCTTTGGGATCAAGAGAACCTTTTTTTTTCTTTTACTGGGGTATTGGTTTTCATAACCACTCAGCCCCGTAACAAGTGGCACTGGTGGTGATACTGGGAAACTGGAGTGTCTGAGGGAATTGCTGGTGTGATTTGTGGTTAGCCAGTGGGGTGAGACCGAAGTCCTCTCTGTCTGACTGGTTTGGTGCCTTGGTGTGCAAAGGACCCCAGCCTGGGGCTGTAACTGCTGTGCTCTGTCCTGAATTGACACTCTCAGAAGTGTCCCACCAAGGGCAGCATCGTTATAGCCCCCCATGCCCATATCACCCCACTGCCCCCCATCACCCCCAGCCCCTCATAGCCCCCCCCAGGCCATCACCCCACTGCCCCCCCCACATAGCTCCCCCAGGCCCACGTCACCCCCTGCCCACACATTTTGCCCGCACCCTCCCTGCCTAGGCTGACCAGACAGTGTGAAAACTCGGGACATTTTCATTTTCAGGGTGGGGTGTGTGGGGGGGAGGGGATAAGACAAAGCCCCCAATATCAGACGTCTGGTCACCCGATCCCAGCCCCCCACGTGCCCGTCCGGCCTCCAGGGACTGATCCCCCGGCAGGGACAGGGATGAGCCCAGAGGGGGCAAAGGGCTGGTGCTCCCTGGACTGCCCCTCGCCCGGATCAGCAGGGGCTGCTACTCACGGGCTGCGGCTCCTCCCGAAGATGTTCTGCAAAGAAGCCAGAGTGGGGTCAGGGCAGGAGGGGAGGCAGTGAGGAGCCTATCCCTGAACCAGCCCCCAGCATCCCCCTCTTCCCTCCCCATGGCACCCCCCACTCCCCCATGGTGCCCCCCCACAGCCACTGCCCCACTCCCCATGGCGCCCACCACCTGCTACGGCATCCCCTGCTGGATCTAGGTGGGACCGGTCAGCCTGGGGGTGAGGCCGGGGCTGCAGGAGGCTCAAGCTGATGTTTATCACTATGGGGAAGCAAAAATGTAACAACAGCTGGGAGCTTTCCCAGGAGAGCCCCAGGGCTGAGCTAGCAGGGGCTGCGGGTCAGGAGTGAGGGGCACCGGCAGAGCTGGGGGGGCCCAGGGCTGGGTAGCAGGGGGCTGCGGGTTGGGAGTGAGGGGCCCCAGGAGTGAGGGGGAGCCCAGGGCCGGGCTAGCAGGGCTGTCGGGTCACGGAGTGGGGGGCACTAGGTAGAGCTGT